CTCTCAGTCTTGCACCTTCTTCACAATTAATTGTTGGTGCATTTGTTCCCACTATTGCATACCTTGTGCTAGTTAATTTTGTCAATACTGTCTCTCTTTTTGACTCTCCTTCTTATATAGAGGCTGTGAGTTAGGTTGGGCCTTGCAGAATCAGCAGTTTGAAACCATCAGCCGATTCTCATGAGAAAGACTGACTTCGGCAATTAGTCTTAGAAAATGTCAGGGATAGTTCTATTCTACATGTTGGCTCACCACACCCTCTCCAGCACTTGTGACTTTCTGATATTTTGAATTGAATTTGGGGGTATTTTGAGAGTATTAGGTGGTATTTCATAGTTGTTTTAATCTGTGATTCCCTTATGGTTAATGGTCGGGAACATTTTCTCAGGTGTGCATTGACCATTCAGATTTTTGCTCTTGTGAAACTTCTGTTCAAGTCTTTTGCCCACCTCCTCAGTGGCCTCTTTGTTTTTTTCTTGTTGTAGGCTAGCAGAATATTGTATATTTTAGTAGCAAGTACTTTGTCTGATGTGTTGTTGCTAAGTATGTTTTCCTAGTGTGTGGGCTCTCTCATTCCTCTCTTGGTGAAGTCTTTCGATGTGCTTAGGTGTGTTATCTTCAGTATATCTCATTAGTCAATTTGTGCCTCATTCCCTATTTCTGATAGCCTGTGTATTCCCTGTGCCAGAGTTCTTAGGTTTGTTCCAATTCCCTGATTGATGGCTGTAATCATTTGGGGTTTTACTTTGAGGTCTGTGGTCCACCTCAACTTTATCCTTGTGCATAGAGTGAGGTGAGGGTTTTGCTTCATTTTTTTTTCTTGTAGGTACATATCCATTTTTTCCAACACCATTTAGTACATTGATTCTGCTTCAGTTTTCTTATTCAATGTCCAACTTTCATATGCATATGAGGTGATTGAAAATACTATGGCTTGGATTGGGCATAATTAACTCTTCAAAGTGATCACTTTAAAGAGGTTTTATGTAGCAGATTTAAACACAATGCAATGTGTTTTGGATTTCTTGACTGCTGTTTCCCTGAGCATTGATGGGAGAAGCAAGCAAGATAAAATTCTGGAAAATTTTCATCTCTTCTTTGTTTATTTTGATGCTATCTACTGGTCTAGTTGTGAGGAGTTTTGATTACAACATATATTCTAAGATGGCTCATAACTATGTCAGAGGGGTGCTGGAAGAGGATCTGTTTATGTCACTAGAAAAATATTTATTCTGTGAATAAATCAAATGATAGTTTGGACATTTCAGTGGCTTTGTAACTTGCAGCAATATAATGACAGGGAACTCTCTGAGGTTCAGACTGGATTTAAAGGGGACGTGGAACAATGGATCTCACTGATTTTGTTTGATGGATCTTGGCCTAAGTAGACAATACTAGAAAGATGCTTATTATTTTATTGACTCTGTCAAGGTGTTTGACTCTGGGGTTCATAATAAATTATGAATAGCTTTGAGAAAAAAAATATAATGGAGAGTCTTAGTGGCATAGTGCTTATCCGTTGGGCTGTAACCTGAAAGGCTGGCAGTTCAAAACCACCAGCCACTTGGTGGGAAAGAGGACTATCTAAATCTGTACACAGTCTTGGAAACTCACAGGGGCAGTTCTACCCAGTCCTAAAGTATCACTATGAGTAAGTATTGACTTGATGAAAGTGAACATTTTTTGTTTGAGCAGTGAAATCTCATTGAGAATGAGCATTCTTTGTTATGTTAAGAAGGTAGGATTAGCCTGCATTGTGTATTGTGTACACCTCCTTACCAAGAAAAGAATGGATTAAGCAAAAATCAAAGAGCAGAATGGAGAGAAGATTGGTGTTGTTGTAGTTAGGTGACATGTAGTCTATTCTGACCCCTGAGCACCTCATGAACAACAGAACGGAACACCGCATGGTCCTTCACAATCCTCACAAGTGTTCCTGTGTTTTACCCCATTGTTAAAGCCACTGTGTCAACCGTGTCCTTAATGGACTTCCTATATTTTCTGCCTCTATACTTTACCAAGCGTTATGTTCTTCTCTAGTGACTGGTCTCTCCTGATAACATGTCCCAAGTATGTGAAAGGAAGGCTCCCCATCCTTGCCTGTAAGGAGTACTCTGGTGATCATTTTCCCATGACATTGGTTTGTCATTTGAGAGATCCATGGGACTCTCAACATTCTCCAGCACCATCACATTCAAATGTATCCATTCTTCTTTGGTGTTCCTTACTCAATGTCAATTTATCATATGCCAGTGAATCAATCGGAAATACCATGGCTCAGTCAAGCATGCCTTAGTCCGTAAAGTAAGTAACATCCTTATTTTTCAACACTCGGAAGAGGCACAATTGTGAGAATGACCAAGGGGCAGGCAGTGTTTTCTCCTTTTGTCCATAGCATTTCTGTGGATCACAACAAACTAGATGGTACCTTACTACAATAAAGCACGTTGTGCATCAGGTTTACCTCTTCCCTGCTGCTTCCATGAACTTTTGTTGTGGAACCAAACACGACAAAATGCCTGACAACTTCAAACTTTTCTACATCTTTTGTAAGACTACCTATGAGACGATCTATAGTCCTGGTTGTGAGAATTTTTGGTCTTCATTACATTGAGTCATAATCCATACTTATAGCAACTATCTTTTAAAAAGTTTAAGAGTGAAGGAATCTCACAGTGTTCTAGATTATGAGAAAAACCGGATGGGAATTGCCTGCTTTTGGTCATGATATCTGTGTCTTGATTTCCATAGCAAGAGCCAAAATTGGGTGATTTGTTAGAAAGGCAAATTGGGCTCACATCTGTGGATGACTGGATTAAAAGTTGGTGTTGGTGTACATGATGGCTAATGAGTCATCTGAGAGGGGAATTATCCCCTGCCTTCTACAGTTTCTGGGTAATTCAGGTAATCTTGGGCATTTTTGCCTTAAAACATGTGTCTTCCCATGGCTGCCTTCCCTAGTCTCTCCTATTGTGTGTCTTCTCGTTTATAAGGACACCAGACTCAGGTGAATAGGACACATTGTATCATACTATAATACCATATGAACTTAATGCATAACATCCTCAAACATCTGTTTCAAAAGAGACTGGCCTCCACAATTACAGGAATCGATTTTTAAGATACCTTTTTGGTGAAGCAACGGGATCAATTGAAATCTGGTACTATGGGAGAAATGAAGGATTCTAGCAAGTACATGGTTTCTCCCATTGCCACTGTGATGGTTGAGGTTGTATAACTACTGGGTTGGGACTCCTTTTTCATAATTAGCAGTTATGAGCCAATCTATTGCACAAGACCTCTTGAAAGTGTTGAAAAGCAAGAAGGTTTGGGTGAGGACTAAGGTGTATCTGATGCAAGCTATGGTGTTTACAATTCCCCCCTGAGTGTGTAAGCTGGACATTTAGTAAGGAAGAATGAAGTAAAATGGAATCATTTTCAGATTATGCCACTGTTGAGGAATATTGGAATCCTTCAGACTGTAAAAAGAGCAAAAAGAAAAATTTTTTTAGGGAAATAATGTAGTTTAAATGTTCCTTAGAGGCAAGGAGGGTGAGAATTACTCTCATGTACTTTGGAGATACTTGCAGGAGAGCAGAGTCCCTGGGGAAGGACACAATGACTGGGAAAGAAGAGTGGAATTTAAAAAAAGAAATGGCCAATGAGATGACACAGTGGTTCCAAAAAAGGGATCAAAAAGAAGAAGAATTGTCAGGAAGGTCCCAGACTAAGCAGTGTTTCTTTCTGTTGGACATTGAGTCACAATGAGTCCTTTTTTAAGGTACAAAACAAACTCCATTTCAAATATAATGGAAAGAAAATGTGTAGAAAGTTTTAAAAGTGACAAAGAGAGTCAAGACATCATTGGGATAAAAGAGACCCCCAACATGAGGTTAAAATGGCGCCTGAGGGATCAGAATTGAGACTCAAGATAAATTGGTAATAGGGGTTTGTCAGGAACCTCTCCCAAAAGCAAGATTGTAGGCAGATGAATACATCACAGTCACAGGTGTGATTACAGAAGCTGGGAAGGGCCCATGATTGGGACACATGCATTGTTAGATAGAAGAGCTTACAAGATTGGTTCAAGGCCTTTGGATCAAGGCAGGCAGGCAGGGCCAAACTGTTAGAGCATAACTCATTGCTATGCACCCCCCAGTACTTTCCCCAGTAAGGTGACCTCCCCCTGGAACACACCTGTGCAAGCCCCTTTGAGAGACACTCAGCCTCCCTGGGCTGAAAAGAGAAGGGTGTAGGCAATCCACTCCCCAAGGCACTCTTCCTGACGGCAAGATTGCCTGCGTCCCTGGTCAAGGATCAGAAAGCATTCAGTAGCAGCTTAATTTATGTGAGGATGCTACAAATGGATCTGGGACTACCACTGCCATCCATACCTTTTTGCAAACCCGGGTGCTCAGGATGAAGGTCTAATGTAGTTCTAAGTGTGTTGATGGCACCTAACCAGAGCAGGGCAGCCAATCTATCTGATGGACTCACACAGAACGCAATCATCTCCATGATGAGTTTTCTTAGAGCAGATAATGGGTTGAAGAGAAATGTCCCGTGTGTAAGGTCTGAAGCCAATATAGGAAGACTTTCTGGAAAAGCAGTATAGAGTCTTTTGCTCACTGTGGATCCTGCTTCCACTTTTCCCTCAGGCTGAGCAACAAACACCTATGGAATCTTGAATCAGCTGCCTGTCACATCTGCTTCAATAAGGTGCTGTTTGAGCTGCTGATAGTGGATATTTCACCCTGCACCCACATTAATCAGAAGCCTTCAGCCTGCAGTCTCACCTGGGCCTTGGGCCAGGCTACCCACAAAACCTCCAAGTAAATAAGTGAGAAGTCTGACTAGAAAGGCCTTACACATTGCCCAGGAGCTAGGGCACTACCCTGACTTGGAAATCCTGGGACTACCTGCCTGGCTGTCTCTTGGAACCTCATCAGAACCTCCTCTGGCATCACACATCAGAATTCCTTTGGAACAGAATCATCAGCATGACCACCTCAAACCCACCCAAGCTCCAGGACCTTGCAATCCAGAATCTGCTACACAATGAGGTCTCTGCCATTGACTCTCTGCAGTGGTTGCCTAGACAACTCTTCCCACCACTGTTCAAGGCAGCCATTGCCAGAAGATGCAGCCAGACACTGAAGGCCATGGTGGGCACCTGGCCCTTCTCTTGCCTTCCTTTGGGGGCTCTGATGGCCCATAGGCAGCCTGACCTGTACATCCTACAGGTTACACTGGATGGCCTCGATGCCCTGTTGGCACAGAAGATTCGGCCATGCAGATGCAAGCTCCAAGTCCTGGACTTACGAAAAAACAATAAGATCACCTTAGAGGACCTGGGGTATGGAATATGGGCCAGGGACTGTGTGCGCTCGTCACAGGAACCAGAAGACACCCAACACCCTAGGAAGAAGCAAAAAGTAGAATGTTCAAGGATTGAGGAGCAGCTCTTGGGCCCCTTGCAAGTGATGATAGAACTGAGAGTTGCACAGTCTGGCCTGGATGAGTCCTTGAACTTACTCATTGACAGGGTTGAGCAGAGCAAAGGGCTGTTGCAACTGTGCTGTACCAAGTTAAGTTTTGAGACCAGGCTGCCCCAATTTGAACTGACTGACAAGATCCTCAAGTTAGTGCGGCTGGACTGTGTCCAGGAGCTAATAGTAAGGGGTACCTGGGACCGGTCCACCATGGCCAGCTTTGTTTTGTACTTGGGCCAGATGGTGAATCTGAGAATTCTCCTTCTCTTTGAAGTATCCGTATATTTCAGGTATTCCCAGACACAGGCCCAAGATCAGGAGAACCTGCTTGTCCAATTCACCTCTCAGTTCCTACGACTGCACCAGCTCAAGAAACTCTATCTGGAAGCTGTCAGCTTCTTGAAAGACAACCTGGGCAAGGTGCTCAGGAACCTGCAGACATCCTTGGAGGCCCTCTGTATAACTGACTGCTCCATTTCCAACGTGGACTTGGTATGCCTCTCCTTGTGCCCTAACACCAGCCACCTAAGATCCCTGAATTTGAGTCATGTCATCCTATCTGACTTAAATATGTACTTCCTCAAAGTCTTGCTAGAGAAAACTTCAGACACCCTTCTTTTCCTAGATATGTATGGCTGTAGGCTCACAGATTCCCAGGTCATCTGCCTCCTGCCTGCCCTGAGACACTGCACCCAACTCCTCAGATTGAGATTCTCTGGAAGCCCCGTCTCCATGGCTGTCCTGGAGGTACTGCTGAGGGACATGGTCCCACTGTGCAAGTTCCTCTTCCTGGAGTTTCCAGTCCCTGAGGAATGTTATTTGGACAACCCACCCGTGCTCCATGAACATAATCTTGATATGTATATCGACAGGATAAGGTTCTTAATGCATGAGTTCGGCCAGTATCCCACCTCCATAACTACTGACAATGACTTCGATTTCGGTTGTGACTCAATTGCTGTCATGTTTGACAACTGATGAGGTTTGACATTTGCTGTGAGGTGTTGGGAATCCTATCCTGTGAATGTGCTGAAAACCCAACTGTGAATTTGTACTTCCAGCCCCCTCCACTGTGCGTGAATAAAGGACTGGTAGTTCAAGTCACTTATTTGTGGTAACTCTTTAATAGCAGCACCAGATAACGAGTACTGCCACTTACATTTGGTGATGGGAATACCTTACATTTGTATATCTCATTTCCCTCATCTATGCAATTGGCACCATCCTCCACACAGGCTTTCTGTGGTCCTTCAATGCATGCACTGAGTGAATTGTGCATTGCACAAGACCATGTCTCCAGTTTCCACATTTTTACCTATTCATGAAATACATTAAACAAATCCTTGCTTGGAAGATTGCAGTGGAAAAAATACCAAAACACATTTGGAATGCTTCCCAGCCACCAACTCATTTTTTAGACCTGCTCCCTGCGGTGTCACTGTGATGGTGCCCAGAGACACTGTGAGGCTGGAAGCTATTTCACCACAATGTCAAAGGCCAGCGAGGTCCTCCATCGTGAAATGGTTCAGCAGAGCTTCCAGACTAAGAATAGCCTACAAAATGAGACCAGGCTGGCTGTCCTCTTCTGGGGGATTCCGAATGGGCATGGTGTGAATAGAAGCAGAATGTTGTTTCGTACAATGCCTGAAGAAGGGTCACTCAGTTTATAAAACACTCAAAATATGATGGGAAGGGCTGCCTCTTCAAAGTCAAGTCCACCTTAGGCCATGAATGAAGTAAAGCTTCCAAACCTTTATATGCTAAGGGGGGCAGAGCTCTAAATGAAAATCAACAGCTGCAAGCAACCATTAATAATCCAATTATGTTTATATGAAGAATGCATCTAGAAAAATTGGACCTCATAAAGATCTATACCCTTCACATTAGTGAGGGAAAATAAAATTATTTTCACTATTTGAGTCCAATAAGCATATGGTTTAAAAACTCAAGAGTAATGAAGTCATATTCATCACCTTAGAAATATTCAAGCTCTATCTTAAAGTAGGATGCTGTTGTAATATCTATATACTGACAAAAAGGTTTATGGAACACCCCTGTTGTTTTCATTTACCCCACATTTGTTGAAAGAAGTCTGGAAAAGAAATTAAACAACTATAGCAATTTCTTTCTTTTTTATGTACATTTTTCTTTTAAATCATTTCATTGGGGGCTCGTACAACTCTTATCACAATCCATAAATACATCCATTGTGTCAAGCACACTTGTGCATTTGTTGACATCATCATTCTCAAAACATTTTCTTTCTACTTGAGCCCTTGGTTTTGCAAAATTCTTTCTTGTGATCTCCAGTTTCTATCACCAGACCACAATTTGAAGTACATTTTCTTTCTCTTTGTTTCTAACTTTACCACTTCAGTCTTCCAAAATCATAATTGAATTTTAATTTCACACTTGATGACTTTCGAATTAAGTAAGATGGTAGAATTCTTCAGTTCTTTCATCGCTTGCTTTAGTAGTTGCTGTCTAAATTTGAACCATAGTCCTATTAACTGGACTTCCTTGTAAGAATATGGACAGCATTGTATTATGAGATTGATCGTATTTTAACATTTGTTTCTCATTGTGAGGTTTATCTAATTACTTTCTCCTATCGTAGAAGAAGATGTAGCTCTGTCCTTCTCTGAGGAATAGTTCCTACCCTGGTAAGTGTTTATCAATTTCAGCTTTGAAGAATATTCAGTGTGTTCATTATTGTGACAGTTGCTGCTGCTAGGTGCTGTCAAGTTCCTTCTGAGTCATGGGCGTGCCATGTACAGCAGAAGAAACAATGCCTAGTCTTGAGCCAGCTTCACAATTGCCATTGTATTTGAGTCTAGTATGGGAGACATTACATTGGATCAAGTAATCTGCTCAGCAGTCTTCCAGTTTTTAGACACCCCCTTCCTTTATCAGGCACTGGTACTTCCTCATAACGTGTCCAACAGAAATGACATGAACATCTTTTCCTTTACCAGTCCGATTCTCTTTGGTAGGACCAAACTTTAAATCTATGAATTTTTCTTGGATCTTCCTCAGTCAATGTATATTTTTCACTTTCACGTGAGGCCATTGCAAATACCACGGGTTGGGTAAGGAATACCTTACCCCACAAGGTGACAGCTTTGCTTTTCAGCATTTGAAAGAGATCTTGTGCAGCAGATTTACCCAGTGCAATGTGTTACTTGATGTCTTGACTCTTGTCCATGAGCATCAATCAATTGTTCCAAGTAAGAAGAATTCCCTGACAACTTCCATCTTTTCTCTGTTTATCATGATGTTACCTATTAGTTCAGTATGAGGTTTTTTGTTTTCTTTGCATTGAGTTTTAATCCATATTGAAAGCTATAACCCTTGATCTTTATTCTACAAAGTGCTTAAAGTCCCCTTCACATTCAACAAGCAAGGTTGTGTCAGCTGCTTAGGGAAAGTTGTCGATAAGCCTTCCTCCATTCTGATATCAAATTCTTCTTTATGTGATCCACCTTCTCCGATCTGCTCTGCACACAGATTGAATAAGTATGCTGAAAGGATACAACTCTGATGCACACCTTCTTGGTTTTAACCCTGCAGTCTTTCCTTTTTCTGTTTGCACAACGGCCTCTTGATCCACATCCAAGTTTCACATGAGGACAATTACGTGTTCTAGACTACCATTTTTTTCAAGACAATCTACAGTTTGTAGTGATGTATGTAGTCAAATGCCTTGACATATAGTCAATTAAAAAAAATGAAGTGAATATTTTTGGTATTCTCTGCTTTCAGTCAAGATCCGTCTGACCTGAATCATGAGAGTACTTAGTCCATGTCCTCTTCTGAATCCAGCCTGAATCTCTGGCAGTTCCTTGTCATTGTACTGATGCTAGCATTCTTGGATGATGATAATACTGGCATCTGCTATCTGGGATATTTTTCTATAATTTGAGCATTCTGTTGGGTCATATTTTTGTGAATGAATTCAAATATCGATGTCTTCCAATCAGGTGGCCAAGAATCTGTCTTGAAATTTTCCTAGAATAGATAAGCAAGTACTTCCAGTGCTTTATCACCTTGTTAAATTCCTTGGCACAGTCCATAAAAACACAAGGAAACCTCTTCCTGGTATTCTCTGCTTTGGGCCAAGGTCTATCTGACATCAACATGATATTCCTTGTTCCAAATCCTCTTCTGAATCTGGCCTTAACCTCTGGCAGCTTTCCTATCAATGTACTGCTGCAACTATTGATGAATGATCATCGATGAAATTTTACTTGCATTTGAAATTAATGATACTGTTCAATAATTTCTTCACACACTGAAAGGGCACAAGTATCGATCTCTTCTATTTGGTTCCCAGATGGTTGTCATCTAAATTTCTTTTTCTAGACCAGGGAGTCTTCCAATGCTTCATCATCTTGTTGAAACATTTCAATTGGTACTCCATCAATTTCTGGAGTCTTACTCTATGCTAATACCTTCAACATAGCTTGAACTTCTTCACTCAGTACCATCCATTCTTCATTATAAACCCTCTTCCAGTGGTTGAACGCTTGAACACTGACCCCACCCCCACCCCACCTTTTTTTGGTTCAGTGACTCTCTGTATTCCTTCTATCTGCTTTTGACAATTCCTACATCATTCAATATTTTGCCCACGAAAAGTTCGTTTGTAACCCCCAGTGTGATTTCCCCCCCCAGTTCTTTCAACATGCGATGTGCTAAGCATGATCTTCCTCTTTAACTCTCTAACTCTAGTTCTCTAGCACTCTTTTGTCTTCTTGAGCAGTACTTTAACATTTCTGTTTGGCTCTTTTGCCTGAGGAAATGATGAATATGCTATGTCTTGACCATGAAGGAACTTGTCTAGCTCCTGGTTTGATGCTGTCCAAGTTGGTCTGGTGACATCTTTCTGACAAATTATTATTCTTTGATGCAAATTCTTTGTTTTAGTGTCTACCGTACGTTGTGACTGTCAGTTTTTCACATGGCTCGCAAAGAAGATTTGGTGGAACCAACATTAGCCTGTGTTGGGACATTTTCCAGTAGGAAAAGACACAAAGGGAATAAGTTATCAGGAGGAAAAGAGCTAGAAGACAGATTAATTCCACACTTCCTTGGAGATCCCTGGTGACGTACCTGTTACGTGTGGGGTGGATAACTACGCAGTCAGCAGGCTGCAACCACCAGCCCCTCACAGGGAGAAAGAGGAGGCTTTCTATCCCATAAAGGGTTACACTGTCGGAAACCACAGGGGCGATTCTCTCCTGACTCAGTGGCCACCCGCTGTCAGTGAGTTTGGTTTTGTTTGAGGTAAACTGGGAGAAAATGTTGCCGTGCCTGCTTTTGACTAATAGGGTAGAACTGCCTCAGAGGGGTTGCTAGGTCGTAATGTTTATGACACCTTCATCTCCAGGCCTTTTCTTCCACACAGTTGCTGACCAGCGGGTGTGAGCCGCACCTCTTTGCGAGCAGCTGAGCACTCTAACGATTACACAACCAAAGCTGCTTGCACAAAGTGCAGAGTGATGATTGAGGGAATAGTCTGACCCGACAGGAACAGACGCACCTGGGTGTGAATGCAAAAATTTAACTTCCTCAGTGCGTATGGAGACTTTACCATTACAGAACCTCAAACATCATGTGGATCTAAATTTGAACCAGGGGCTTGTTATTTGCTCTGGGTAATAAGAGAGAATATACACAGAACTGACCAAAGACCTGGCAGTTTTCCTATTGATATGAACTCACTCCCCAGTGTCCTTTCTTAGCCTGTTGTTGTTAGGGGACATTGAGTCTTTTTCAACTCAGAGTATCCCTGTGAGCAAGAGACTGAAACACTGCCCAGCCCTGCGCCATCCTCACAGTCATTGTTGTGTCCGAGTCCACGTGAGAGCCACTGTGTTGACTGATCAGCTGTGTGGGTTCCTCTTTAGTGCTGACCATTCACTTTACAAACAGGATGTTCTTTTCCAGAGACTGGGCTCTCCTGGTTACATGTCTGA